CATGGTTGGATTCATACGGTACCCCACTTTCCGGAAACCGTTCGATGCTATTGATTGCCTAGGTCCCACTTAGCTGCAACTGTACACGGCCAAACCAACCACTCGTCTTTATGTCGGTGGCACCTTGCTTGCTTTAACCTGCAAACTTTTTAGATAACCCGTTTTACTGGTGCATTGCCAGTCAGTAGCGGGTGGTGTTTTGAACGCAGAAGAAGATCGTATAGTAACACTTCAGACTGCGCTATCATTTTAACATTTAGACAATGACGGATCTTTTCGCGTTTCAGTTATGCACAGGATCGCAACATAGAAACCATTCATGCAATGTCTATACGTCCAAGAAAAAGTGCAAGTGTATGCGTGTTTATTGATCCTTCCCGAACATTACTTTACACTGTTACACATTTTTAATTAAACCTTACAAAAAATTACTATACTGATAGGGGTGGATTATCTTCAGAATGATAACAAGGTATATAAAAACGCTGACGCCAAACAATTTTTACGCGCAAGGATAACTTACACTTTAATGTGAATTTTCACTGTTGATGCTTTACATTTGCGAAGAAACAACAATGGTTTTCTAGGAAGGAATTCAAGATGAGATAGTGTTCCTCCATTGTAGTATGCTGTATTACAGGATTTACGACGTGCTCAGTTGTGTATGTCTTGACGGTTGCACGGATGAGATGATCGGATTTAGACCACAATATTCACAGAAACGAAAAACATATAGCCCCTTCTTTGGTTGCCAGACTATTCAATATCTTTCTTATAACCATGGGGCGCACAATGAATCTTCAACACACGTTTGTTGGTATGTGGAACCACCAGGAACCTTTAAAAACAAAGATCTTAGTTTCGATTCAATTGATTCTCATTTGCCTCTCTGAGTGATCTAAAGGCTCAACGGGACACGAACTTATCACATTTCTGCCTCTCGGCAAACCTGATGGAGCCAGAAATGGCTACGTACAGCCGCAAACCTGTAGGCGGGAAAAACAAGCCAAAATTTCGATCGAAGAGAAGGGAACAAATCCACGCACTCGGCATTCATCATCAAAGAATATTTCTCTAACCTAGTGACGGTTCATCCGTGTGTGCTATCCTTGTGACAAATAAATTACAGCGAGGATCGTTCTATGTATGGTAAAAAATATCTGGACCAGTTTATTGACCCATAGCCTAGTACGACTACGCAGGTCACCATTACTGCGTAGGAAAATATCACAGGTTGATGAATCATCACAGAGATTACAAGTTTCATTTTAAGCAATGACAGGGAATTAGTTTTATTTAATTTGCACAGCATGGTAGTTTATGTAGACAGCTGAAAAAAATTCAGATATGGAGAAAATATTCCTGGTTTGGAAGTGACAAATAAATCTTAGGTCTACGGGAAATCTGAGAGCAAATGCACATTCGCCAAATCCTGATTTAGCTAGAACAAAACAGCTCAAGGTGAGAAATGCACATCATTATATCGTATGATACAGAATGCTGAGAAAAAAAACGCTGGCAAACGAGACGACTTCACACACCAAGGAAGCAGGAACACGCAGGCAAACAATCGATCGTACACGTTGCACCTATCTCCAGGAGTATTTCCTTCTTCCCTGAAAAGTGACGGTCAAGGATTTTGGTTAGGCTCTTGTGGTGTAATTGACGTCGAATATATATACCATATATTACCATCTCTAGATCATGTTCTTTTTTCGTACTGGGATATAAGCAAAAAGGGAGAAAAAGATCCAAATTGTCCATGCAAGAGAATACATAATTGCAGTCACTTCAGTAAAAGGCAAGATAATATATACGGGCAGCAGTCATCGTTTATAAAAGCAAGCACTGGCAACATATACGTAAGAAAAAGAGAACCAGAGAATGCCACTCCGCTCAGAAGTTCCCATTTAGACCTAAAGAGTAAACAGTTCAATCGACCATCAGCAAAAGTAATCAAATCGGAAAATGACGATTGAATCTTTAATGGGAAACAGGGCCTGTCTCCGAGGTCGAAATATTATTTAAGACAGCAGATGAGGCAACAAGAGAAGAAAACAGTACCTAAGTTTACACTACTGACCAAACAGCCATTGAAACAAAAAATAGCAGCATACCAACTAACTGACATAACCATATCACATCTAAGTGTTAAAACACTGGGACTGTAGTAATTATACATTAGTTGAAACATCGCCCCCCCAAAAAACAAAACAAAACAAAACAAAAAAAAAAACCGGCCCCACTATACCATGATTATCCGTAATAGCGATGACGATAATCAATAGGATTAATACTGCATTGCTGGACACGTTTTTGCTCTCGACTTTCAAGTTACATTCAAGTAATTCTGTTTTGAGATGATAGTCAATCAGTAAGGGAATTTCCTTCCAGGCATTTGGTTGGTACTCGTCATTCAGATATTCATCCTTAGCCCTCAGGGCCGACACCTCAAGCCCAAGTTCAAACTTATTAAAATCAAAATTAGAGTACATGTATGCCCATATCTTAATATGACGTCGCAGTGACAAAAACAAGCTCGCCTAGGCAATATTGAGCAACTGAGTGAGAACTGTATGTACTGTGGTCCGAACGCAACCCATTGGAGTCCCAAGAGATGCCCTCGGGACTTAGGAGTAAAATATTTATGTCTCGATGGGCAAGATCTTCTGGCCGCAAGGATGCATATTCCAATGTGTAGATAGAGCGCAGATGGCCGTGGACACTATGCACAACTTAAGAAGCTTAGGGCAGGAAATGACAGAGGTTTTATGAATAATTTATCGACAAGAAAGATGATTCAGCATGGACCATTTTCAAGTCGAAAATACAGATGGATATAGCTATAGGTACATGCATGTGAGTGGTTGAATTTAAGATAAGTATTGCCCAATTGAGATGACGTCGTATTTGAAGGTACTTTTTATGAGGCCCTTTTAGTTTCTTGGGCCTCAATATAAACCACTTAAATAATTTGGTGCGAAACAGAAACAATTTAGAAATAAACGAACATTGCATATTTGCTTCTTAACTGTTTCCTTGTTTGCCGAATTCCACCATCAGTACGGTAAAGCGGTATTTGGCGATGATCAGGAGCAAATCAAACTAAGAAACGCATTTAATCTGATGGCTTTCTCTTTTCCTCTCTGGTGAGTTTATGCATTAAATAATTAGACTTATGGTCACAATATTTTACTTTTTAAAGGCCTTATTTACCTTTATACGCACTTGAAGAGGTATGCCATTTTTGTCTTAGGTTTGATTGATTCCAACCCATCACTGCACTCATATTTTTCTGCAAATTCAATTTGACGTTGATGTCAGTAATTTCTATAGGTGTCTTATTATCTTTTTTCATCCGTATACCCATGTTGATTTTCTTTATTGCTCTACTCTCCCCAACCTTTTTCTTAGTTCCTCCTTCTCTCCCCACTCCGCTCCAAACCGTAACCCCTTTCTTTTGCACTTCCCTTTTTCCCAACACAGGACCAGACTTTCGTTGCTCCTTTCGTTATTCCTTTCCCCTTTCTTTCTTATCTTGCCCATTTCAAATCGACCCTCTTTCTCGCCCTGTCCTCCTCCAAATCTTCCAAATTCCTCCTCTCCTCTCCTAAGCCTATTCCTGTCCATTCCACACCTGACCCCCCTTTCCTTTTTACCCCTTTTTTCCTGTGTCTTAACAAATCTATTGTATTAATAATCTGTTCATTTTAAACGTTATTTCCGGATACGGTTTGTGTAATTCTAATTAAAACAAATCTTTAACTTTTAATCAGTCGATTCTATTTCTAGCACTTGTCTGTTTTACATGGGTCATTAAGGTATTTTTGTTACTTGTTTAATGTTATTTCAATTGTTGTCAGTCTCTTACTCGCTCCCTTCATCCTTGCCCCCCTCCTAACCTTACCCCTCCCAATGATTTAGTTTTTATGCATTTAAATGAGTTTCTAGTTTTTTTAATTTCTTTTATGTGTGTACCTATTGAAAATTACATTTAATTCCACTGCTGGTGCAATTTAAATTAAAGTTAATAAACCATTTTAATAATAATAACAACAGATGAAAAACAGGCGTTTTTCGAAGGAGGCATTTGAAATTAACTCTAAGATTGTGTTTGAACAAGAAACCGTCTTCAAGAAAACTGAAAATACCTAATCTCTATGAAGGTAAAAACATGTATTATACAAGACACCCAGTCACTGGAATCCAGCATATCAACAGAAAGGTAATATCGTTAATTTGTTTCTATCAAAATGCAGATACCCTATACGTATCATTTTAATGTTTTCATTACGCTCGTATAAAATCGCCGGTCGTAACTTTGCAAGTCAGCCACTCTCAAAAAGATTCGCATCTCAATATTCACTGAGCATGTGTGCATTGATTAAAAGATCCCGCCAGCGGTATGTCTCACACTCTTCAAAAGCAATAACGGAGGGTCATAGGTCAAACCGGAAACCGGAAATCCCCCACATATTTGCGCGTAATGATTAGCACAGCCCAAGTTGCAGATAGCAGCAGCTGCGTCTCGAAGTTTAATTAATGGAAATTGAGTGAGTGACGCTCTCTATGCGATGTTCATGTTATAGTCACCTTGCCCTTGGGTGTTTAATGGTCTATAGCTGGGAAATTAATGTACTTGACATCAAGCAAGGTAGAAATTACGATTGATTAAAAATAGAATGTGTCGACACAATCAAGACGACGCCGTCAGTGACCATGCAAACATGTCTTACATTTTTCTTCAATTCATTGTCCATGTCTATGAAAAGATGACGACACTCACAGTCTTTGTGGATCCGACAGTGCTATCATATTAGAATGAATTACGAGCACTGACAATGTGCCGTTGTGCAGTTTGAGTCTTTAAGACAATAATTAAATACTTGTATCTTAGTCATATTTGTAGTTACATGGTGTAATGCATTCCACGCTTTTACGATTAATGGACCATTACTGAAATTGAAAACCTAATATCAGAAAACCAACGAGCTACTCACCTTCAATTTTTCATTTAATGTTGGGGAGATGAAAACGGAGAGTTGTTGGCTCGAAAGCAAATTCTTCCAGCTGTCTATGGATGAAGCAGATCACAAATAAATGTACAGGTTTATTTTGAACCCCCATTAAATGGCAGTGACATCGGCAAATCATAGTAATGCACCGTCATGGCGTTCGTTCAAATATTCTGGAGTTACTTTTTTCTTTCAGATTCACAGACTGGTATTGCAATTTGCATAACGTACGACACGTTTTTGAGCCTCAAACACTGTCAGTATAATAACACGCTGTTTGGGTTGTACTTTTGAGATGGCATCTGTACAGTGGACACGAAACTTCAGAAAAAGTCAAAATACCTACATACAGTTCCGCAATCCAAGCGATTAAGAAGAGTGCAGTGCCACGAATCTGATAGGCCAGGAAGAGATAACGAATTTGTTGGGTTCGCATGTGCCACCTTCTGCTCTCAGTGCTCTTCGCAAGACTCCTCAGCAAGAGATTAGTGGTGAGCATTGTACCGGTACCCTGCGAGTGAGATCCTCGCAGCCGCGGTACTAGCCGGAAGGGTAACCACGCTCGATCGGCCTGTATTATACTACCGCACGTTAATTGCAAAGGACCAAGCAGGCTTTGATTTACATGCAGCTACGTGAAAACACAGTTGGGTTCCCTGACGCCATTCAATTTCCCGACTATGGCAGGTGTACAAACAGTATGACTTTCTCACACCTCATTGCAAGTTATCAGTGACATGGTACTCCATTGATGCAATCGTGCAAAGTAGGCCTTTGTATGCAGGATACCAGTACAAATATTCAGGCCCCTAGAACAAAGTTATCGGCGTATTTTGCTCTATGGCCGCATTTACTGGGCATGTCTTATGTCAGTTTTGTCTGCTTTACTTCTTTTTCAAAATTATACGGACTCTTTTTTTTTCAAGTCTGAATGGAAGAGATTAAGGGGTCCTGTTTTGAATCAACTGCGTACTGGTCAAGCCAACAGTAATGATTGCACTGAAGCTACCCAACATGTCTAGCCAAAAGCGGATAATTTCTAATACTAACTACGTGGTTATCCTCTAGTTACGGCATTGCAATTCGTTTTCTCACTGCGTGTTTCTGTTCACGTCTCCTGGAAATGGGAGACTGTGAAAAGCTGGTGGCAGCAGACATACTGGTCCTTTTCCACAGTACAGCACGTGCTCAGAACTATTCATGCATGCCCAAAACAACACGAGCATGCTAAGAACTGGTACTAAAGTTGCACTACACTAAATACGCGCCCCCCAAAAACTGTGCCAAATCAGACCGAAATAGCGCCGCCTGTAGACTCTCGGGCAGAGGTTGGCCTCGGTTTTTTTTCACTGGAAATTCAAGAGTACACGTATGGCCAGAAGATCACTTTTCTTTTTAATTTATGGGGGTTAGCAAGGAAAAAAATATATTCGCCATAAATTTCCCCAAGGATACCCCAAAATATTATTAAAACTCTGCGCTCAGCTCTGAATGTAGCCGGCGATCCGCCTCTATCCAAAATAGGGCCGCAATTTGGGTTTTTTTTTGAAAGAAATAACCCGAACTGGAAACTACCAGTCCCAAATTCGGTATTTTTACACTTGAATATTTCTACGATCCCTCCTGATTATGACATGTCTTCTTGTAAAAACCCGGCGGGATCACAAAGTATTAATGAGCTCGCGCGTAGAAATACGACCATTCGGTGGAGCACCCCAAGGACCGGTATGTTTGCCGCCATCAAGCGTCTCAAAGTATGCCATTGACTTCATATCACCGATTATCTTGCTCAATCATCACAAAAACGAGCAACGTGTACTGAATTTGTGTTCACTATAAAGAGTCGATTTTATTAGCTAAGGGCCTACTGTTTAAGGAGCATCTATATGCTAATTTCCTCATTAACAGAGACCTGAAGGATTTTCAACACGAATCGTTACCTGCAACACACGATGTCCGAAAGACGTCTGGAGACCAAGTAGGAGACAGGCACCACTCTCAAGAACAAAGCGTCAATTGCCTTCGTAATTATTTCCTTAATTCAGATTCCGCGTTAACTATGGTAAGTCTGGTGGCGTCGAGACATGTTGGTTTGAGTGTCTCGCTCCAGATCATAAAGCCGGGATGTTCGAATTATACTGCAGCTGGTTTCACCATGCGTTCAAGAGGAAGTCATTTTCCCCCTTCGTTCCTCTCCCCATCAAAGAGTATGAGCCATGTGAGGGCAAAGATAGTTACAGTATTCAGCCGTGTATGCCTGATATGACTATCGCGCTGCGAGTAGGGATAATAAATTTACCCCCTCAAAGGACAAAGAGTACGCTTTGTACGCTAGTGAAAATGATGACAAAAATGAATGACCCTTAGTACTTCCACCATGCATAGCTTCACGTCTTATCTAAATGCTATTGTGTCAATATACTTTATTATGTCGTTTTGCTGGTGCAGATAGAGTTAGCACACCTGAACCATCTATTTTCCTAAATGTGTTGGTTTTTCTGTTTGTTTTTGTCAGCCAAGTTGCGGTTAGAACCTCAGCCATAAGGTGCTAAAATATTTGGGTAATAAATGCCAAAGATATTCAGCTTTCGGGAACTGAATCGCAGGTAAAAGGAATGGAAATACAGAAAAATATGAACCGCCCTGTACCTCTTTAAAGGAAATCCCAATTAGAGGTTTCCTACATTACCAAGTAAGCACAGCAGAGTTGAACGTTCGCCAGCCATGCTTAGTACTCATAAATTGATTGTAACACGACCCTGTATGGACAAAAAAACACAACATGGATTACCTAAAGACATTGTGAGTAACTGGATTGAATGTTGCAATCTAAGCCACCCTAGATCCACCTACTACTTGGCAGGTTTATTAAGAGGCAGTATTCCTGCTTCACAGATTAGGATAAGAAAGGGCTCCACTCTAGCTCTGTGAGCGGTATAAAAAACGACTCGTAGCTGTCAGTGTAGCTGACATTTGAGGTTTGGATATGAACAGGAAACATGTTCAGTTTCGCTTCCTCCCGTTTCAAGCACCTTTTTATGAGGGGATGAAGAAGCACCTTTCTCTGCTGATTGTTGGCTTATCATAATCAATTTCAGATTTCTCGAACAATTTTTCATGTGCATGACATTCTGACATTTTGTGGTATTTTTTTCAAAACAAGAAATTACAATTCCTCGTCAAAATGTCCCATCAAGGCAATGAAAAGTTATTTGTTAATAAGATCCTTCCCTTGTTGACAAATGATACGATTGAAACATGTAGAAAAGTAAAATAATAAAAATCATTTGTTTTAAACGCAGTCCAATAATCTGACGACAAACAGATGGCGCTACATCACATTTGAAGTACCTCCCGTCTATGCCTTCTGACAATTGGCAATGACTTAAAGACGTGTTCAAATCAACTGGCTATGGCTAGAAGTAACAGGCGGCTGATAAAAGTGGTTGCAGCCGTTAGCTAGTGGTTGCTGCATGCAAACGTGATCTATGCTACCATCAACCTTGTGTCCAGCGGTTACTTAATTTCAAGATTAGCTTCAAGTAGAGTGACCACCGGAAAGCAATTTTCCCTGTACATGTATCCTGAATTGATGCAGCGACAGCGAAGAACCGATTGTGTTGTGGTTTGTGTTTTTGGTGTTTCAAATGAAAATGTGTACGTGTTTTAAGGTTTGCTGTAAGTTATACCACCCACTCTCTGAAGGCAAAAAGTGGAAAAACCTAGTTATTCCTTACAAATCCACCCAAAAGCGTGCAAAACCACTATAAAAAGGTGAAAATCACTCAGAGGAGCCATGTAAAAGACAACTCTTTTGCGAGTATTCTTTTATATGGCTCCTAGGAAGAGTGGAAATTTCACTCGCGGTGGTTTTCACTCTTTTAGAGTTGTTTTTAAATTATTCTAGGTTTAGTTTCCCTTCTTTTGCCTTTACAATTTTGATGATAATACAAAATGATACTGCAGATAGATGAGATTTTGACTTTTTAATCTTTAAATGAAAATCACACTCCTCAGTAAAACACGTCATGATGAATTAACTCTGCGTAAACAGACAAAGTATACTAAAATCAACGCTAATTGAAAGCACGGTCACGCTCCACACTTTTCCTAATTTACGTGCACACCCCAATTTTTGGATGCGCGAATGATCCAATCCCAAGGTGATAGCCGTAGGGGCCCAATGCTCAAAAATATGTGCGAGGTTGATGCTTATACACAGCGATCGCTCAATCTCATCGCTATATAGAGAAATGAATGAAAGTAGAGCTCTCTGTCCCAAAAAGTAAAATGAACTTACAAACCGCAAGTGGTAGGATTTTTCCCCGATAATGAAGCGTAATGAGCCCATTTCCACCATTCTCCAAAAGTGGACCGCCTACAAAGTATAGTTTTTACCTTTGCGATCAATTTTTCAAGTCCAGTCTTTGAAGTGTATTGGCCAAGAGTTGTTCAGGAACGAACTTAATCGAAATCGTTTCTCTGGCCGGAAAAACGAATTGGATTGAGCTTGCTCTCGTAATGGTGCGGATATGTCCGTCATCCATAATACGAGAACCTCAAAAGACTCAAATGACTTCTTGTCGCTGGCATCCGGATCTGTTGGTTTCATGGTTCGTTATAAACGACAAAAGGTTGTTGAACTCAATAAGTCCGAGACTTCCCAGTGATGATCCTGCAAGCAGGGTGAAACTTACATGTAAAGACACTGGATCTGGCCCATACGGTTACTGCTTTGACGATGTAGTAAAAGTGAACCTGATGACTGTGTTGTCTTTATTTTTAATAAGATGCAGGAAACGTGAAGATGATAATATGGGACTTTTTTTGCAAGAGTTGAAATTTAGTCGACGTACGTTAAATTCCACAGGACAAATCTAAGCCGTCAGTCAAAGCTGTTTTTCAAACCCTTGAATTTGATGATATATATGGAGACACTAGGATTGCATAGTTACAATGAACAATCACAACAAACACGTTTCAAGAGGAGCGATTCATGAGTGTGACTTTCCATCGCTGCGTAACCGTTTTTGCACATAGAATAGACGGTTTATGCAATTCAATTTACACTACGCAACATTCTGACAATTGTCCCAGCCAGTCAGATGTCATAAACCCCGCATGGAGTTTTATTACATTTTGGAATGTAAAGATAGATTTACTACCCAGATTCACAGTAACAAAGTAAGTAATAGTGTAATCAAGTAGCTTATGGATTTTCTATGCATCAGGCATTTCTAGTGCTGATCGCACACTGTTATTACAATACGCGCGTTATTCACTGTTATTCATGTCGGGAGCTCGACAAAGGACGACTCAGGAACCGCTGATGCCTGCGGTCTGTCAAGCAATGTTTTTGTAACGGTAGCTTACACTAGGGGGTTGGCGGTCACCACAATAACACCGCCATCGATCGCTCCTTAAGCCCTAAATTAAAGCAATTTGTTCTGGGGGTACAGTAGTTCAAACACATCGTCATATGCACTGAGTAGATTAGTGGCGTTGGAGTACGGTGATGCAGAGGAACTGTTTCAAAAGGTAAGCTACAAAGTTCTCGAATCACCCGACAACCATTATCGACACTAAGAAATAAATGGATGTGTGTTTTTCCAAACTCCTCATCCTTTCTAGCGAAATGGTTGTTGCGTGAATCTCCCCTTATGTAGGCCTACAAGGTCAGGTCTTCCCCATTCAGAAAAATGAAACATATCCAAGGTCTCACTGTGCAAGGTTTGGAATATTTTCAGTCGGATTTTGCCTGTTGTTGTGTATACCCTCATGTAATCGGAATTAACCACTATATTATATTCAGGATCACACTAATACATGGCTTGTTTGTTTAGCTGAAGAGAGCGATCGGAAGGAATGTTTCTCCTGTACCGAATATATGTACGGTATATATTTTACTATAACCGTGTAGGTTCCTCTTACTGTACGTGTTCCGGTCAATAACTTTGTTGAAAGTGTGATTTAAGGCCTTCAAAGTAATTGAAAGTCCGGTATGGTGTTATGCGATTTACGAGGACATGCTGCGCTTATGCTATGATGAAATCATTCTTTTTTCTCATACTGAACGTTTTACGAAAAAGAGATGGACAGCAGAAGGAAACTGTTCATTGAGGCTACATTTTACACTTTAAAAAGATTAGAAAGACAAAAGTGACACTACAAAAAATTATTCTGCATGTATACATTAAAACACTCGAGCCAGTCGCAACTCACACGTACATGTAGCTGAGTACCGACGGCTGGAAGCCATTCCAAATTCAGTTTCATGATTTCAGATTGTAATTATTATTTTTTTTGGGGGGGGGTCGTACCATGGGGTGGTCTTGGCATTGGATTGCTCTCTTGAGCATACTAAACTCTGTCGGTGCAGTCTTTTATGTCGATCGGGGTGCATGTAGGGCAAGTCCAAATATCTTTCTAATCTCAAGTGATGTGTCATCACTTTACCATGTGATGAAGGCCAACCACCTCATACCAACACACTGACTGGTACGGGATTCGGAAGCATATTAAAGGCAAGTATCCATGGAAACATTTCCAACTGTTTGTCTTGTTAAGTACGTGAAAATGGCGGGTACTGATATCACCAAAGTTTTATGCCGGCCAAAACGTAACTGAAGATTCAGCGGTTTTTTTTCAAGTATTAGTAGTTGAAACAAAGAGATGAACACAAGTGTCGATTACACTGATTTATGCAGTAGCGCTTGTATAATGCACCTAATAAACCATGGTCCGTTAAGTCTTGTTACGGCCAGACATTCTAAACCCATGCGACAAATATCAATATATTTCCCATCATCCCATCATCATATTCCCCTACTTTAACTAAACGCCTAAAGCGTCATAACTATACTTGCAACGGGTTTTGCAATTTAGTGGTCCTCGAAATCGCATCACGAACAATAACCATTACGGAAACGTGAAAAACATCACGGCCTGTAATTCATAGCCCTGTGTACACTTGCTGAAGAGCAATTCCATCCGTCATTATCATTTAATGGTCTCAACAGCATGAGTTGACAGGTGATTTATAAAGCCTCAACGTTCATCGAACTGTGCTCCTGACTCTACTTGAGAATGCATGTGTATTTTTGTTGGTGTCGAGTGGACTTGTTTTGGCATATCCAAGTTCTTTTTGCACATGTTCATTTAAAGGCAGGCGCACGCAAAATTTTAGACTTACTGGAAAAAATTGAGATAAACATTTTAAACGAACTCACCAGGCTTAGATCGCATGCAGTTCCTACACATGGCCCTTAAGTACCCCATTAATTACAAACTTAGAGTCTTCTTACATTGGAACTGCACGTTTTACACCAAGAGGCATAAGCAAAGATAGATCTCAATGCAAATTGATAATTTAATGCACCTTTCCGAGTTTCAAGTTGAAATCAATAAAAATATTTTTTTTCAAGTTGAGGAATCAGGTGGTTTTAAGAAAAATGCACACCAACTTGATTATAACATCGAAGTATTTGGGGAAGACTTTTTTGGTGCAGCCCAGACAGTTTATCTTCTTGGCTGACCGTGCATGACTGTACAAATAAATACTGAAAACTGGGCTAGTGTTAGGATGGAGAAAATCAGAGTGAGTAAGATTAATGATGCGCGAAAATGGAATAATTGAAAACCATCCCAGGGAACCTGCATTACAAGATGAATAAATTTAATATTATACATAAAGAAGTTTTTATTGGGTTATTGGCACTTGACGAATCGCAGACACCGTTCAGGGGGGTCACGTCCCTTGATTCAACAAAAAAACTTTATCTACGGTAAATCAGACAGATAAACATTCCTATATCAATGTGTCGCTATCTCCCCAATTCTTTGGTATCTTCTCATTATTTATGGGTTTTTTTTCTGTCGTCGGGTGTGCTTCGTTAAGGAAATGTTTTTCCGTGAGGATATTGAGCTGGTAGAACAATATACACACCTTAACGATATAACTTTGGCGTTTCAGGTGTGAAGGGTTCATTTGAGAGATAGACGGTGGAGGTGGCTGGTACTTCAGTGGTACAGATATTTCGATCCATGAAACGAGGACTTGACGGGACCGCCTGGTGGTTGACCAAATTAAAAAACAAAGGTTTGTTGTTTTGTCTTTTATAGACTTCTTACATTTAAATGATGTAGTTTCTAATTTATCCATGCAGGTTAAAATGTAATTTTAATGCAGTTCTTCGAAATGTATTTTCATTTCTCATTTAATCTTATTTTCAATTTCGAATTTGAATATCATGAGCGAAAGTAACATCATGTATATCCAGGAAGAAAATTCAATGGAACACGTAATTCAGTTCAGCATTTTGGATACTTTGCTGTATTTATCGGTGATTCAATTTTATTTTGATCGCCTAAAATAAAGTAGGCCGGTGACCGAAGATTTCTCACAAATATGCCTACGAGCAAATTATAAATTCCCATTGAAAACAGAAAATCTCTCAAATGAACAATAATAGCCCTGACTTCACAGCAATAGCGCATTGCTTCGTTTATTTCGTCAGGGAGAGCATTGAAAATGTTTAAAAAGGCAAACAAAAACTACTGTTGAACAGTATTTTCATAAGGCAGTAGAAAGTTGCACAAAATATGTTTCCGAGTAAAATTCACGTCGTGGAAGTACGAGTACGTGAATAATATGTTTTAATGATGTCGTCGCAGTTTTTCCAGATGAGCGGTGTGATATCTTTGCAGGTTAAATATTGTAAAGAGAGTCGTTAAGGTATTTCAATGGTGGTAATACTGGTCCAACACCGCGCACGACCGTATTATATCCCGGCTGTTGCTGCACACACCAAAAGTACACTCCTGCATCGAAAATGAACAAACAAACACTTCTAAGGGTCAACTGGGATCATTTGATTAACATAATGATTCCGAAGAGAATTCGTTTTTTATAAATCGGATTTCTCCCAAACTGTGAATGCATACACACTGTGTTGTTATGACACATATGACAGCCAACTTGACATAGAGCCCTACCACCTACATAGCATAGTATAAACGAAAAAGAACAAGCCAATGCAATTATGAACTTTACGGAACGATGTCGATTTGGGTCGCTTGGCCAACAGACAAACTATGAAGAGTCATTTGTAACAACACCAGGGGAAAGTGGATAGACTGAATCTGACGCACGTTTTGAAATTGTTATGACAGCTTACTTGACTCTGCCGCACCTTCGGCTTCACGAAATCTGAACGGTGTCACGTAGCGTATACTGACAAACAAGCCCAAATGAACTGAACAATAATGTAATAAGGAAACTCAACGGAACTACATGTACATGTCGACGGGGGTCAGATGGGCAACTTAAGGAGTGCCACAGTAACGGAATGGTGAACGCTGGCTACAAATTACTGACACGCTCAACCCCGTACTTGTGATTGTTGAACGCAACATCCAAGGCCATTAGTTTCGTAGCTTTCAAATTACTGGATAGGGATTCCGATCAAATTAATCTTTTGGGAGTAAGTGCTTTCTGTAAATGAACACGTTCTATATTTTCCATCTGCATACAGACTCTACTATTATGGATACCCTATTTATACATGCATGACTTCGGTAGTGCGATTCCCATAGAGATAAAAACCAATGTAATTTCACCACAAATTAACATCAAACGAACAATGGTAATTTGTTAAGTTCGTTCTCAATCGATAATTATACCCAAAAAGGTTACGCAGCCCGGTTTTGAATTGCTGGGGCAAATAAATTAAGAGCCCGTTTAAATACCAAAAGAATCCCCCATTTTCAACGATACTCCTGATGTGGAAGTATAACCTGCAGAGGGAAGACGAAGGCCAACACTCATAAAAAAAGTACCAATTCGTGTCGAACCTGATTTCTTTTTCTAGAAGCGGTAACTTTACTCCACAAAGGTGGGTTGGTGTCGGCTGATTTAAGGGCGAGGTGACAAGTTGTTTTACCGGGCAGTTGCCCTGACCAAATACACATCGTCATAAATACCAAACCACTGATAGACTTACGAGCATGCGGCTAACAAAAGAAAGTAGTCATGGATCCGACAAAGTTAGATTAGAAGGACAAATCACGTACATAATTGTTTAGACAAAATACCTAATATAACAATTACAGAAAATTTGTTCCCCATTCTATCTGTCACTTTTATCTTTAGAAATGTGGTTTGATGCTTAAACACCTTTAACGTGTAGTATGTCATATTTTATGTATTGTATACACACTGGTTATTTATAATGCGGGAAATTTATGATGTCAGTCGATTTTTTTATTTGTTTTTATGAATCTTGATATAACATATACCTTTGAAGCGAAATTTGTAATTCTAAACACGTACACGCAAATCAGTAATGATTTACGACCAATGGGATACCATTCCCGTTTGTTAGTGTAAGCTAATGATAGCCTGGTAAGCATAATAAAAAAATCACTAATGACTATATGAGCCGTTACGTGTATATTTAAAATCACAAGAATAAAAACAGTTCATAAAGATAAACCTTTAAAAGTGGAAAAGCGCAGACGGCGATACTGGCAGTGGTATCGTATAACAACAAAAAACTTTAGGCCTGAGCCATCCTTTTGAAACGGTGCAGTAAGCTTTTTGCTGTCTTTGCTAGTATCAATTTTCTCCACTGTAATTCAAGCACCGTTAACCAGTTTCTATTTACCGAAAAGATCAACAAATACTTTTTTTACGTCTTGTTCAAAATAATCAAAATCGATTCAAAATCGACTAGGTACCCGTAAATGAAGTACATGAGTGTGAATGTACTGAACACTAACGACACGTGATTGTTCTCGTGTTGCATGTGCACGAATATCCCTCTACATGTACATCAACACAGAGCAACAATGTCGAGAGTTCATACCCAAACCAAAACGGTCAATATCAATCATTAACCACTGCCTAGCTCTCTCCCACATGCTTCAATCCACTTGTCCCTAATCACAATCTGGAGAACACTTATCACTTCAATGTTGTAACAAAACGCGTGCCTATAATACACGAACAAGAAACATTTGTGTGAAGGGATTTGTATTCCCTATATATTCCGTCTCAATGAAAACATGAATTTATTGAAGTTTTGTTTTACCATCTAAAGTTGAGTTCAGGTACATACCAACTTAAGGGTTTACAGTTTTTCCTGAGGATGGTGGACGAAAAGTAGGCCTACATGAATTTAAAAATCAAATATCGAATGGTAACTACCCTGAAAGGGGGGCTAGCGATCATTTCTTGTTGAGCCCAATATGGTGCAACTAAGTTTGTTGTAAATAAGTCCGACCTTTAGAACGTCCGTCCTTTTCTCCATAAAATTACAAAAGTGTCTGAAGCGAATCATAAAACTTAAGCTTTCAAAAGACTAGAACTCTTTCACACTACTATTGAGATATTGCAGTGTTTCGTCTTCATTTACCATGTTTCGGTATTTTCCTTGCCATGACTCGGACTCTCACAAGAATATTTTTTCACGTACGCATACATGTACCATGGGCATTCTGGGGGTATTGTTAATGCACTTGACTTTTGGATTACCAATTGAACAGTAGGTCTACCAACTTGACCGTTATATTGCTCTGGGCTCTTACTATAACCACTTCTAGTCGATTAGAGCCGCAGAAGGGGTAGAGTTAGAACATAAGCTAAATAACAATATAAATGGCGAAATAAAAGTTTATCAATTGCATTTTCAACAGTTGAACATTTTTCAGCTGTCTAACTCGTTAGTAGGTATCAAGGATTTTTCAGTGGAAGTCAAAGAGGGGTCTTACTCTTGCCATGCGGCGCTATAACAACTACAATTGTCAAAAAATTTAAGACAGCAAAATGTAACAAAATCTGGCAAACATTAGCGCTAAAATTTTAAAACGTTTCTTCTTGGAAAGACGCCACAATTTTGTTCATGATACTATATATATGTAAATTTATGACAGCATGAAACCTCAAAAGAGACGTGAATTTCCTTTAACATATGGGGGAAAAGGCAAAAAAACGTTTATAATCCCTTTTTTTTCTTACAGGATTTCAAAGGAAACTTTAACATGGCACTGAACATTTTGACACGCTTGGTCATACTGTGTGTGTTATTTTTGGCTATTGGTTCAATGCCTGTGCGAACGAGGCCCGGTGGCCGGAGTGGACACAACAGTGGCCATGCAGTGGATAGACTGCCCCTATTTCCTGACAAGTCGGCGTGGTGTGAAGCGCAAGGCATTCAACAAGTCATTAGTCATGATGGATGTACGTCTAAGAAAATTGCAAATAAGGTAAGCCACCGTTTCAGAGATTTTGTTTTTATGAGAAGGAACTTCTGTGTCTCCCGATGATGGATTGGCGTATAACCAACTAATCACCTACAATCACGGGTTTTTTTTTTGGTTTCGTTTTTAATCCAGGTGTGTCTTGGTCAGTGTTACAGTTACAGCGTTCCCCGTACCATGCCGACAGAGACAAACTCGCAGCTACAGTACTGTAGTTGCTGTAAACCATCGAGAGCCACATGGCAAAAGGTAAAATGAAAATTACACCGGCAGACGTGGCGAAAAATGTGCCTGTCGAAGCGATCTTAGTAGAAATAAACTATATTCTCCGGAAATATTCGACCCATGTTTTAGTATACTTTTATCCTCGGATAGACCGCGCAAATTAATTATACAAATCCGCCAATCGGCTTCTGATTTGACATTTCAAACGTTCTACAGCCACCTTTTCTCCCTCGTGTCCTCCCCAGTTACAAGTTCATGAACTCTGAATGGATACGTGCTTTGTTTACAGATACCGCTGGACTGTGTCATGGACGGTATCTCGCAGAAAGTAGACAAACTCGTCGAGTTGGTACAAGAATGCGAATGCCAGAGCTGTACGGGTTCAGTCGCTAGTGGCTTCGATGGATTCATCAATCTGTAATTTTTTTTCTTGAAAAGATATTCAAGTGAAACTTAGTTTGAACCAGGTTTATTTTGGGTGAAACTGGCCTAAAACAGTTCACAATCTGATGAGAAATCACCAGTAATCCACGTGTCAAATTGTAAATAAAAGTTACTGCCAATGAAGTCTAAGCCTATAAATCTTCTGATATTACATGAAACCTTGTACACGTACTTGCTTGGTTTTGCAGTTTATACAGTTTCTGTTTTGGCATTGCATACATCCATGTACCTGTATAACTTTGTAAGTTTTGACAAGCTAAAAATAAGACCCAGACGACTGTTGGGAATTAGCCACAAATTTTCGATATCTGTGAAGTGTCAAAATTTGTTTATTTTTTTTATTTCACGTTACAGGCTTCAATAATTCACATACGTGCACGTATAACATTGTTTTGTGATGCATCACGTTGGTTTACTAAAGACAGGTCATCAGAATGTTTACATGCATAAACTTAAAATCCCTTGCAAATTGCTCGATAAGAGATTTACGACTACGAAACCTCGTCATAAACATGTACTTTTGCAGTGCCTAAGTACATACATGTACGTCACTGCTTGGCTTGAATTGTATTACTACTCTCAGTCCAGGGATTATGGAATCTACAAATGGGAATATTAGTTAATTATGTAAATATGTAAATTGATTTAAACAGTCTTGTGTTCAATCGATGAAACTGTGAATCACTTCGCAATGTTGTGTAATTCCCGCTTCTTATTAAGAGCTGATTATACACAACAAACATAACAAAGTTCACATACAAGCCTCGATTTTAATATTTCTAGTTTACCTTCATTTTCCTTTAAATGTAGAAGGACCAGTTTTAAAATTCATTTCATAGAACTGATACGTGGAAACTTGACTTTTGAATTCGGAGACCAGCGGCTCCATGAAGATCATTTCAAGTAAAAAATATCATTAGCTTTCAAAATATATAAATTTGCAAAGTACACTTATTATGCTTAAAAATTAGAATAAAATGCGAAAATAGCTTGGATAATTATGTTCATCTTCCTGTACACATTAATATTTTGTTAGCTCTATTAACAATTATAATCATTTGCAGTTATCCAAAGACCAAAACCTCTAAAGATTGTCATGAAAAATCGTGCATTGACATTAACCTGTATACATGGAGGTGGCCAAGATTCCAAGGAATGATTTACTCAACTTATAATCCAAGTATCAATAAAAGTTATCCAACGACGAAGAAATGAAATATACCTTCATTTCTTTTCAGGGTAGCAAAGAAGCCTTTAACATGTCATAGTGTCTGCATTCGAGATGCAACACTTATAAATGCATTTTTATTCATAACAGCCCCATGTTCTACAGTAAATTTGCACCCCTTTATATTTTCCACACGTTACTGCGCAAAGATACAGGTAGGTGGCTCAATGATAGCAAGGATGTCTTGTCAAACAACAGCTGCTGACATAAAGACATAAGTTTCCATCCCTATCGGGACCATGACCATGACCTTACAATCTTATGTGGTCAAGGGTCCATGTGGTCTTCATGCCTGACTTGGATAGACTGGACTAGGACGGGATAGTTTTGTAAGGATTCAAAATTCCTTTGGGGTCAAGTAAGCATTTCATCAGTTTCATAACCTCTACAGCCTCATCTGTCTTACTGTATCCAATGTATTTCCTCTTGTTGAAACCAAGCCCATGTTCAGAGCTTACACTTCCTTTCAGCTTTGCTGTCTGCTCAAATACAAACGGCTCAAGGGCATTTTTAATGTCTTCGGAGAATTCATCAACTATGACATTAATGTGGATGTTGCCATCACCGACATGACCATAGCCAATAACATCACAAACTGGCAAATGAGCATGTTGTGTCCGAAGATAATCACGTATCATGGGCACTAAATCATAATATGTTCGGTGGGGTATGGTCAAGTCGTACTTGTACTGTTGTTTGGTGCGTTGGATGGATTCATTTATTCTTTCTCGTAAGGCCCATATCATCTATGAGTAAACAGTCACAAAAATAACAGGTGTAGTAAATGACTACAGGTATTATAATCCTTTTTCAGAATTAAATCTTAGCATTTTTGAGTCAAGATATCTGTGAACATCTTGTCTCAGTGATGGTCTATTTGGATGGGTAATCACACTGTGGGTATGTACAATGTACATGCATGTACATGTACATCAAAGTGAAGACAACACACAGACCAATGGAAGTACAATGTAGACACAATGATTGCAATGACAGTCATCTGATTAAGAAGGGTTGAGAGAGTTGATCATTTGGATGCAGTAATGAAGATGCTCTTATTTTCATAGAAGTTAGAATAAATACTTATTACATTGTATTTGTCAACTCAATAACACCTGTATTTAGTAGAATGGTTGTGGTGGAAGTAACAGGCATGACAGTTATGATGATCTTAATCTGCATGAATGAAATGTGAGACAACTCGTTTCGTGGGATGATATCAGTCACCCTGAAATCAGTGAAATCCTAAATAATTCTCCAGGGTATAAAACAATAAAGATATGAAAAATACATTGAAATTACTGCACATGAAGCATATTAAACTCCAATGGGTGTTTGCACACATCACCGAAATTGATTTCAAACTATTT